AAAAAATCATAAAAAAAGGGCTGGTGGACTGGCTCAAGTGGTAAGAGTGCCTGGCTAGTAGGTATGAGGCCTGATTCAAACCCTAGTCTTGTCCCCCTTCCCCAAAATAAGATTTTCACTTGCTAAACTTTTTAATCATTTTGAGATTTGATAGACCTTATCCAACATGGTTAGTAGTTTTAATAAGAAGAGGGGATCCAAACAAAAGAAAGAAAAGAAACCCCAACCTACCTTTACTAGAAACAAACAGTTTAAGCTATAATATGGGGGTGGGGGGTGGGGTGGCAAAACAACCTCAATGGTGTAAACCTAGAAACTGTTGTCAGCTATACTCTGTCACATGTCAGAGAAACTAAGGAAAGCTTTCTCCAAGAAGAGGAGAATGAAGCCAGTGCCCAGAAAGAAACAGAGGTGATGGAGAGAGAGAGAGATCCCAAGTACCCATGAGGCCTTAGGTAGGAGGCTGCCCTGAAGCAAAACATGAGATCCTAACTGAAAAAAAAAAAAACAAAAAATTTCAATCACTGTAATTTTACAAAGACTTTGAGCAGTACACATTCAAAGATGTCTAGTTACATAAGAAAAAATATGAGTAAGAATCAACAAAAACAACGGGTCGCATACAATTCAGCTATTAGGATTATCAGTTATAGATATTAAAACAACTACAATTATTATTTTTAATAGGTAAGCTGGAAACACAAAATTTGGCCTAGCAATTTTGAAAAAAGAATCAACTAGAACTTTTAGAAGTGGAAATTATAATTTAATCAAAACAAATGATTCTACAGGCATATTTAACGTTGATTGGACATAGTTACTGAGAAAATTAGTGAACAGTATTATAGGCAGGAATATGTTATCCAGGGCTGGCAGAGTGTGCCTGTCTAGTAAGCATGAGGCCCTGAGTTCAATCCCCAGTACTGCCCAACCAAAAGAATATGTTATCCAAAATGCAACTTAGACCAAAAGACAGAAACATGGAAGAGAAGTTAAAAGAAATGGAGGACAGGGTGTGATGTTCTGATATATATTTAACTTCAATTTCTCTTCTCTCCAACAAGAGAGAGAAGATATAGAGGAAAAATAATCTAGAGAAGAATGGGATGAAATACATTCCCACATCCCGAATTCACATGACGAAGTCCTGACTGCCAGTACTCATAATGGGGTCTGTTTGGAGATAAGTCTTTCAAAGGGGTGATTTAAGTTAAAAATGAGGTCATTTTACCAATCTGACTAGTATTGTAAGCAAATGTGAAGGTGAGGAGAGACAGTAAGGATGATGCATGAACAAAGGGACCAGGCAGAAAGAGGGCAGCAATCTGCAAGCCAAAGAGTGAGACCTCAGAAGAAACTATGCTGACACTTTGTTCCTGGGTTTCTGGCCCCAGAACTATGAGAAAATAAATTTCAGATGTCTAGTTCACACAGTCTGTTGTATTTTGTATAAACTAAGAACTTCCCAGAACTAAAAAAAAAAACCCAACGTCTTCAGATTAAGTAAACCCACAGCCAAAATCCTTCCACTTAACCCATACTCTGAAAACTGTGGGTTTTCTTTATGGGATCACTAAACTTTTTTTTTTTCTTTTGGCACTACAGGGGTTTGAACTCAGAACCTCTGACTTGTTAGACAGGAACTCTACCACTTGAGCCACTCCCCCAGCCCTCACTCACATTCCTGGGCAGAAATCTTCCCCAAGTGCATGTGATTAGTGGAACCTAGGTCACGTGCCCTCTGCCATCTGCCATCTCGAAATTCGAGTTTTCCCAAAGAACTTACTCACATGTGAAATTACCAAATGTAAGGAAGATGCTTGAAAGAGAACGAACAGCCAAAACACAGCGACAGAAAGCTGTTCAGAAAGCTTCCTTAGGCCTCTGCTGCTTTCTCCTTTCACTCTCCTTTGAGAATTCCTAACTCTTACAGACTCTAACTCAATGGACAACTTTGATCTGATCTGACAAATTAGTCTACCTAACTAGCCACGGCATGTTCTGGCTACTGTACAATTTCCAAGAATTGCTCCATCCTCGCCTCCAATTCATCCTGCCTAAATCCCAGCACTGCTGTACCCGCTGTCCTCTCCAGAGCCCCTGAAGAAGCAGGCTTCCTTTTTTTTCAAATACTCTCTCTCTGCCCCTTTATTGTACTTCATATTTAGTTCAGCAGACTCTCCCTTCCCTACATCGCTGCTTCCTGCCTGCCTTTCCATTTTGCATTCTGCAGCTTGTCTAAATCTCCACGCCGTCCCCTCCTAAGGCCCCTTCGGTGGCTCATTTTGCAAGTTCGTGGCCCTTTCTTATCGGCTCCTCAACCTCTATTCCACGAAAATTGCCGTTCTTTTGTTCCACAAAACTATGGCGGTGACTTCAGGATGCAGATCCTGTCTAGAGCACGAAGTGGGCTCAATGCTCGTTGAGTGAGGGGCTGTGTGGTGGACTGGGCGCGTGGGAAAGGCCCCTCGGGCTAAGGGACCTGGAAGGGGCGGCACCCGGCGGGGGAGTTCCGAGCCACGGAGAAAGCCGAGTGGAGGTCATGATCTCAATCGAAACCGAGCGGGGGTGGGGGCGGGGAGACCCTCATCGTGTCCGTCTTTGTCGGGTTGGGTGCATTTCTCCCATCCTCGGATAGCAGTGCTCCTTGTCACTGGCCACCACTCTGCGTCATTCCCAGCAAGACCGGAGTCTGCAGACTGAATTGCAGCACTGTAGTTGGGAAATGAAACGTAGTCTAGTTTTGTTTGCTTTATACTTAGATATGCTAGAGAAAGCGCAGCACGATCTTCCTTTTCTAAGAAAGAAGGACAACCCAGAGTCGTGAGGCCCTATAGCTCAGGGGTTAGAGCACTGGTCTTGTAAACCAGGGGTCGCGAGTTCAAATCTCGCTGGGGCCTACAAATACTTTTTAAGAGCGATTCGTTCCTCCCTCGTAAGCCTGAGGAATGTGGCTCGGTCTGGCGACTATGCGGCTGAGTGGAGCTCCCTCCCTTTTAGGTTTCCGGACGGGCGCTTGGGGCTCGCGGCGTCGGTGACGCCTTGGGGAAGCGGCTGCCCGCCCGCGGACGCCGCGCTTGCGATCCCCGGCCCTGCCGCACCCCACAAACAAGGCGGCGGGGGGAGCACGTGGGGAGCCGGGAACGAGCCTCTGCCCCCGGGCCAAGCCCGCGCCGCCCGGACTCCGCGTCTCGTACGCGTCCCTCCAGGTGGCCTGCTTCCCTGGGCCCTGGACACCTCACGACCTCCGCGGGAAAATCAAGTGACCCCACTTTCGGGCGACACTTGGGTCTCTACACTTGATACTGTCTCAAAGAAACCGTGGGCCCTTTGAAAAATATTTTTTTTCACGAAAGAATTCTCCTAAACTGCCGCTTTTCTCCTGGGCATTCGATTCCACATCCGCAGAGCGTGGACGGGGACGACGCCGCCAGCCGGCCGGCCGACGCGGAAGGCCCGGCAGGGGAGCCCCGGAAGTGAGGCAGGGGACGCGCATGCGCACGCGCACGCAGGCGCGAGGCGGGCAGCCCCGGCGCGCGGAGGATCCGAGGACCGCAGATGCTCCTGCTCCAGGGTGGCTCACGCCTAGCTGGGATCGGAAGCCCTTTGGTGAAGCCGGAGAATCCAGCTCTAGAAGGGCTGTCCCCCTAACTAGCCTGCCTTATAAACTGGCTTTGTGTTCGCGTTGCCCATTCCCCAAAATCTATGTCGCCTCTCTCCTGCCCGTGCTTGTCGATGTCCTGAACAGAGGACTCTAGGCAGCGTATTTTATGCTCCCTTCGATAGCTCAGCTGGTAGAGCGGAGGACTGTAGAGTGTTGGCGTAGTAGTCATCCTTAGGTCGCTGGTTCGATTCCGGCTCGAAGGAGAAGCTGTTGTTTTGAGTTCAAAACCACCCATGAAGCAATTGTTCCCATTGTCTTCACTATCCCTTTGCTTGTCTTCTCCCAAGAATTGATGCTGTTGGCACACTTCTGGGATGAGGTAGTGTGGGCTAGCTTTTCCAGCCGTTTCGAAGTGCTGAGCTATCTTCCCCAAAACTTATTTTTGGCTTCCAGTTGCTCCCTGGTGCTGCCTGAAGTCCAAACATCGGAGACCAAAGCCCACTGGACAGTGCAGAACCCCGGGGGTGCGTATGTGCCCTGGCTTGCGGAACAAGCCTCTAACCGTGACCTTGGGTCCTGGTGGTTGCCCCACTCCACCATCCATGGAGGAAGGGCGCTGCGGACGCCTGGATATACTTAGCGTCCGAGCTGCGGGAGCACAGGAAGGACTGGGACGGCGCGAGTCACGGGAGACCGGACAGTGGATCCCGACAGGAAACAAGCAAAGGTGGGAGGTGGAAAACATGCTTCCTATGCAAGGAATGCGAGGGCTCGCGGGACCAGAACAGGCGCCAAACGCAGCCTGCTGGGGCTCCCGGTGTGTTGGTGTGTCGTCCGCCCCGCGTGTTCCCACGTGTCCCCTCACCCCGGCTCCTCGAATCGCTTGCGCGAGGCGGCGGCCGGCGGCGGGCAGAGCATGTCCCGCGTGTCTCCCGCGGCTCGGGTTCCACTGCACGGCTCGGCAACCGAGTCCGCCCCAGCCCTCCAGCCCCAGCCCCAGCCCCGCTCTCTCCGGTCCCGCAGGGCTCGTCCCCTGCGCCCCTGGGCGTGTGGTCTCAAGTCTCAAAAGTCACCTTCTCCGACCCCATCCTGCGTCTGGAGGCGAATAAGCCCAGAGTCACAGCTGGAACTTGGTAACAATGAGAGGAAGAACTAAGCAAGGCAAAAAGGAAATGCCACAAAAAGGAGTGGCAGGAGACCTCGGGAGTGGCCTAGCGGCCAATTCCAGGCAGTAAATTGTAGTTCAGAGGGAATGTAAGGAGCACGTTCTGTCGTGGCTCGTTGGTCTAGGGGTATGATTCTCGCTTTGGGTGCGAGAGGTCCCGGGTTCAAATCCCGGACGAGCCCTTTTTTTGTTTTCTTTTTTCCTTCTTTGGCAGGTACTGAAAAAAATTAACTTTGGTACAAACTTTCTCATGCTTTGACTGTCCTACAAAAGAGGACAACGCTGAACGACTGTGGCAGATGGGCTGGTGAACAGGGTGGGGAGGAAACCCCTGGGCTTCTGGGGGCTGCCCCAGCGCAATCCCCCCGTGTCGTCCTCGCAGTTGTTAGCAGGTGCCGCTTCGCCTGGGCGGGCTTCCCCAGGCGCTGTCCTCCCTGGGGCGGCGATCTTCCAGATGGAGGCGGACCCAGGAGGAAGGGGCCTTTTCCGGGAAATTGGGTGCGGTCCCACCCACTGAAGCTGGACCGCCCCCCCCTTCCCCACTTTGCGGTGCGCACAGCCGGCGCGCGGACGTCCACCCCATCCCATCCGGAGCGGAATTTCAAAGACCATCTGAGTTTCTCCAGCTCCCAGCTTTCCGCTAGGAAGAAGCGGTAAGACCCAAACCCTCTTCTCATGCTCTGTGTTCCCGCCGCCTTGCGGGCTCACACTGCTCGTCCTCGTTCTTGCGGGGAGGAGCGTCTGGCCGGGGAAGCCCCCTGCGAGCCGCGGCAGCGGGGGCTTGGGGACTGGTGCTCGCGGTGCGCGCCGCGCTGACCCGTGCGGAGGGACGGCACGGGGCTCCGTTCTTGCGCCGCCAGGCAGGTGCCAGCGGGAGCGCACCCCGGTCTAGACCCGGCGCAGGGACGTGGCGCAGAATCTGCGCAGGAAGGTTCAGAACTAAGGAAACTTTCCTGGGTACCTCGGGTGACCATCGGAGTTGTGAAGCTGGTCGTGCCCAGTTTTCTCACGCCCGTAACCTACATTTGGGGTCGGGTGTTTTCGTCTTATTGCCTCTGTCTCCCCGTCCTTTAACCCACCCCAGACATATTGCGAAACTCTGGGAGTTGTGCTTGGCGACATTTGCCACCAGCATCTTCAACAATAAGTGCTTACTTCTGACTTGGAGACATTTGCTGACACCTATTCTTTACGATTTCTTACTGGAACGGTGAGGTCCGCTTTCTCGCTCTGATGCGACACATCAGATGGTAACAGCACTTGAGAAAACAGAGCACCTTTAGTTGGGAAGGACAGTAAAAACCATTTCAGTATCGTTCCTGAGCTAGGAAATCTCAAATGAGCCAAGACCGTCCTTCTGTGACAATACGACTCTTACAGTCAGGTCATAAATAGAATCACTAGAAACCTAAGTGACACATTTATCTGAACAGCACGTGGCCACCAAAAGCAGCTTCAGGTATTCAAAGAGCTGCCTAATCACACAGCTACTAACATATCGGTGCAGAAGGATTAATTTTGTTACAAGACTAATTCAAGCCACACTGTGTTACAGAAAATAAGGGGAGTAAAGATCAGTATGGTGGCTTTCACCTGTAATCCCTGCTACTCAGGAAGTGGAGATGAGGGAATTGTAATTTGAGGCCATCTGGGCAAAAAGTTATCAAAACCGCATCTCAACTAAAATAGGGCATGATGGCACGACCTGTGATCCCAGCTATTTGGGAGGTTTGGAGGATCACTCTCTGAGGCTGGTCCCTGCAAAAAAGCGCTAGACCCTATCTGAAAAATAACTAAAGCCAAAGTGTTTGCTCAAGCAATAGATCACCTGTCTAGCAAGCATAGGGCCCTGAGTTCAAACCTCAGTCTCTCTCTCTCTCTCTCTCTCTCTCTCTCTCTCTCTCTCTCTCACACACACACACACACACACACAAAAGAAGTAAAATGTTTTTGCAATTTATGGAAACACTCAGTGTAGTTTTCCTTTATGTAACAATTTTCAATAGCACCTTTAAAATTAGCTTTGATTTTTTTCTAGAAGTTACTCCAGTGGAATATAAAAGTCCTATGATGCACTGAAAACTTCTAGTCCCAGGAATGCCATGTGTTCCCTGGGCAATTAATAGCTCCTTCTCTGTTCTTCAATTTCCTCGTCTGTAAAATGAGAGTTGACAGAGTGCATGAGGTGGTAGGATGTCCGCAACATGATTCTCAGGTAAAAGAAGGTCCTCCAGGAATGTGGAGGTGAACCATGGGGAGGGTGAGGAAACCCATTCCAGGGAAAGAGGAATGGCTTCAGCTGGGGTAGAAGATAAGAGTGAGTGACTTATCGAACTGTCGTTTTCATTTCATCTTATTTGAGTAGTTATCTCGGAAAAGGGAATGGGCACAAAGCCCAGGGTTTGTTGAAGAGGTCAATGTTTAATTTTGTCTCTGGAGACACAGGTATGTCATCAGGACTTTCCCCCATTCCTCCCTCAATCAGCAGTGTCCCCACTTCCTGGAGATGTGATCCTTGTTCTCATGTGGGCTCTTCCTCCTTTCCCCATTACTTCTGTTACTGAGTGTTATGCTTATAGACCCCAAAATGTTAGAATTATAAAGGAATTTAGAGAGTGTGCAAATTCCTTCAATCATCTGATTTTATAATTAGTTCTAAAAGGAAAGGAAGTATACCTATAGCCACCCTAGAACCCTTGGAAGGAGAACTTCTTCCCGTGTCTGTGGGCACCATTGGCAAAATTCAGAAAGGGGAAGGACTTTCGAGTTGTCAGAACCTTAAAAAAAAAAAAAGTGTGAGTATTTTGAATTGGCAATTGCTTCACATGTGTCAGTTGACGAAGATTAAACGCCCACTGATCCTATAGTATAATCCTTGTTCTAAGTATTTTGAAATACAAATGAATCAGTGCCTAGATGCATTTTAACAAAATAAGAAAACTATTTTTAAAAACGATTTTCTGTTTGAACATAACCTCCTATGCCAAGTTGAAAACAAAAAGAAAACACTGGCTTTTTGTATGTGAGCAGGGTGTGAATCATCCAAGGTTTCTCAGGCGAAGGTCCCAGGCAGCGGGGACCTGGGGACCTGACTCTGGGGGAGGGGGCGGGGGGTGCTTTCCAGCCCTGTAGTCTTAACTATGAAAGCAGAGGCTGCCCTGTTTGGGCGGGCTGGTTTCAGGCCAGGGGGCCTTGTGAGTGCATGCGTGTCTGCGCATGTGCGTTGTGGGTTAGGGTGGCGTGTCTCTGCTTTGGGGCCCTTGTCAGAGAAGTGCCACGTGGCACGTGGATCGGTCATCTCTGGCTGGGGGGGTTGCTGCTGCTTCCCTGGGGCTGCTGAGGCAATGGGTGTTGCAATGAGCCTGGCGGCTCTCCTGTGTGACAAAGAACTGCTTGGCAACTTTCTAAAACTCAGATACTCAGTGTGGTTTTAGAAAGTGATGTGAGATTAACTTGAACTAGGTACCACTCGCAAATGGTATGTTTGCCTACACAAGGAAACTGAGCTTTTGGCACGCTATTGGACACCAATGGAGGCCCCCCTCCCCGCTGTGGGCTCCATGTCACCTTGCTTCTCCTTGCTCCCAAAACACTTTGAGCTTTGGCAGAGCAAACTGGCATTTGGTGTTTGGCATTTGGGAGTATTGGTCAGAGGTGTGCCTGCTCCTTCCTTTCTAGAGACTCCAGTACCCCCAAGGCACCAGTGCAGTTTGCTTACTCCTCTTCTCACTACCCCCAACCTTGTAGTGAGGATTTGGTTTAGGGGTGCAGGGAGAAGGAAAGGGGACAAGGACAAAAGTGAAGTTCAAGCAGTCTGAGCTCCAAGAAAACTGAAAAGCTGTTGAGCCTTGTCATTTTCTATGTCCCCCATGCCGCCCACTCCTCTTTCTCCTTAAATCCTCAGGCTTTTCCAGTTACCAAAACTGTTTTTTTAGGACAGGCTGTAAAACGCATGCCTCAGAATGTGTAAATTACTGAAAGCTGTGCAAGAGTTTACCCTCCTAGGGATTTTTGCACTGGAGCCAGGAACTAATACTGCCAAAGGGAAGGCACAGCGGTGGGATTTCAGGAATTTTTGGGAATGTAGAAGCAGAATGTTCCCAGGAACCTTGCAAGCCCTTCTGCTCTGCGTGGGAACCAGGCCCACCTCACTGGATGACTGCTCCCAAACCCAGTCAAATCTCCAAGCCTTTAGGGGAAACCAGGACAGTTTGTACACTGGGACCAGAAGGTGTTCCTACAGGAAATGACGAATAATAAAAAGAATTTGGGATTGAAGTGTCAGTTACTGTAGTAGATACTAATAGAGACAATGAGATTAATTAACTATCGAAAGAATGATGGTTGAAGCCTGTTTCCCTGGATACACCATCTGGAAGTAAAACCACATCCATCCCACCCTTACTGTGAGAACTGCAGATCAGTGCCCATTTTTCTCTGAACATTCCTGAAGTTTCTAGAAGTTGTAAGCATGCCTGCAAGTTAGCCCTTCAGTCTACCTAGTGAGGCTACCTTTACTGCTTTCTGGCTCCAGCTCCCTGTGGGAGGTCTATCTCTGCCACCCAAAGGGATCCCCTGCTGAGCATGTCCTCCTCTTCCTCCTTCCTGGTGGAGCAAATGTGTGACCTGATGCTCTAGATCTTGCCTCAAAATAGTCCCGATAGGATCCTCGTTGGGGGGAAGGTACTTTGTCCATGCCCACACCCCTATTCCACCCCTGTCCAAATTGTAGGGATTTTTTTTTGTATTTTTTGGGGAAAAAAGGCACAGCTTTATTTATAAATAATTGTCTACATAGAATAATGGGACAAAATGTATAAGTTGACAACTGATTAAGATATTGCAGTGCTTCCTTAGATAGAAGATAACTATCCAACAGTTGCAGTGACCTCCTTTACACTGCCTTGGTATGTGCTTCCTGAGTCTTAGAAAGATTTCACAAAACAGCCTTTGTTCTTATTCAAGTTTTCATTGCAGTGTCCTCTCCCTAGGACCCAGGAACCTGGGTCAGAAAGCATGAAGCTGGGTGTAATCGTGAACGTCTGTAATCCCAGCACTTGGAGGCAGAGGCCCAAAGGTGTCAAATTCAAGGCCAGCCTGGCCTACATAGTAAGACCCTGCCTCAAAAGGAAGGTGATATGAATGGCACATACTCCACACTGTTCTGAGGTTTTGTGTCTTTCTCCAGCTTCTCATCATGTTTTATCAGGATGAATCCTTTCTCAGGGGCATCGCAGGCTCTTACACAAAGAGAGATCTACCAGCTTTTCAGATGCACCTGGGAATCAAGGGAGTGCAGCTCAAGTTGCCATCTTGCCTCATTAGCAGTAGGTGCTAGGTACCGTGACTCCACAAATGAAGAATTGGGCAGTGCCTTGGGTATTGGATGGGATTGGGGAGGCTTAGCTGGGACTCGGGAGGCATTGCTGATGGGCAGTTGAAGAGCTTCGCGTCTGACTGCATCGTTTCCACTGCTCTTTGAACTTGGAGTTTCCTCATAAGCAAAACAGACGTATATAATACCTACCTCACACAGTCTTGGTGATGGGTAAATGTAGTCACGCATGTGAGAGCTTCATAAAAGGAAAGGTGACATTGATCATTATGATAGTGATTTCAAGTCCAGTTGTCTTACTGGAAAGCAACCACCTTC